CCCCCAAAACCCCAAAACCCCAAAACCCCAGGAATTTTCAGATATATAGAATAAAATATAATGAATAATTATCCATTAAAGATAGCCAAGACTGAGGAACACAAGTTTATTGATCAAGAGAACAAGAAACAAGTCAAAATGAATATATCTGCATTGAAATTTAAGGTACTCAAGCAATGGGGCCTTGCTAGGGCCTCTCTGCTGACACTTCCGCATGGAGATGTCAGAACACCTGTCTACATGCCTGTTGGTACGAAAGGAGCTATGAAAGGCCTCCTTCCTAAAAATATGAAGGATGAGATCGATTGTGAAATAATGCTAGCTAATACATATCACCTGTTTCTTAAACCTGGAGAAGAGATTTTAGATAGAGAAGGGGGGTTACATAAGTTCGCAGATTGGGATAAGAATTACCTAACTGATAGTGGAGGGTTCCAAATCGTGTCTCTCAGTGATCTCAATGAAGTCACTGAGGAAGGAGTCACATTTGAATCTCACATTGATAAAATGAAGTTTCTCCTCACTCCTGAGAGATCAATGGAAATACAAAACTCTATTGGAGCAGACATCATGATGGCTCTAGATGATGTGGTCCCTCCAACTATCACAGATGCTGATCGCCTGGAAGAAGCAATGTATAGATCAATCAGATGGTTAGATAGATGTATTCTTGCCCATAAAAAGCCAGAAGAGCAAAACCTGTTTGCTATTGTCCAAGGAGGAGTCAATGATGATCTCAGAAAAATTTGCTGCGATGAAATGATCAAAAGAAACACTCCAGGATATGCCATCGGAGGATTAGCAGGAGGAGAGGATAAAGAAGATTTTTGGAGAACAGTTCATACATGTACACAGTTACTTCCTGAAGATAAACCAAGATATGTGATGGGTATTGGATATCCAATAGATATCCTTATCTGCTCCTTATTGGGAGCTGATATGTACGATTGAGTATATGCAACCAGAACCGCTCGTTTCGGCACTGTTTTTACAAGAAATGGGGAAATCAAACTTCGTGGTAAAGGAAACAAGACAAAGTTCATTCCAATTGATTCGAAATGTGAGTGCTATACTTGTCAAAACTATACGCGTTCTTACTTATGGCATGCATTTACAAGAGATTCAGGCTGCTTGCAGCTTTTAAGTCTTCATAATGTATATTTCCTTCTTGACATTATCAGAGAGTTCCGCCAGGCTGTCCTCGATGAGAATGTAGAAGAATACATGACTAATTTTGTAACTGAGTACTTTAAATATGAGAAAGAAGGAGTACCTCAATGGGTCAAGAACGCAATGCAAGCAGGTGGGATCACCATGCAGTAAGCATGCCCACCCCCATTATATATTTATCTTCAATAATATAGTATCATTTATTTATCTTCAATAATATAGTATCATTTAGGGGTTTTGGGGTTTTGGGGTTTTGGGGGAGAATGCTAAAAATGATGTGTCTGAGCTCAAGCCACACAACGAAATACCTAAGATCTCACTAGAATCTAAAGATGTTACTTCCCAGAAGGAAAGCTCACTTTCTAGTGGAGAGGAATTGGTGGAAGAGAGTTCGAATTCCATATATCCAAAAACTTTCCCACTTTCCCCAAAACTCAGAGGAAAATTGAAGCCCGAACAGTCTTATAAAAAAGAGACCAAAGCTTCCCGCCTAGGAAAATCTACAGGGAGATGGACCCAACAAGAACATGTCCTTTTCATAGAAGGCTTGAAGATCTTCGGAAAGAACTGGAAGAAAGTCGAGAGCTACATTGGAACAAGGACCGGAACCCAGATCAGGAGTCATGCTCAAAAATTTTTCAATAGGATCAAAAAGGAACATCAGACTGAAGATCCTTCTAAATACGTCATCGACAATATGGGAGACGATGATGTAAAAAGAATTGTTCTCGAACACCTTGGAGAAGAATCTTCCTTAGACACGCCAGAAGTTTTGTTCTCCATTACTAAGGAGAAGACTAAGAAGAGAAAGAGAAAAGATGCGTCAGACACTCCAAGGAGTGTTGGTACCCCAGGTGGCGCATTTAAATCATTCAAAAGATCTGAAACCGATGGAATTGCCGCTCCCGAAGATTCAAAAGCTCCAACGATTTTAAAGAAGCCGGTATGAGTGAAGCCTTCTAAACCACTATCTTTCTCGAATATAAATCCGGTGATGAATAATCAATTCTCAACAACTAATCAAAACTTGCCAAATCTCCCAAATCAGGGGTTGTCTCTAAACTCGATTCCACAGGACTACTTGCAACGTCTTCTTATTCAGGCCCTACTCGTCCCAGCTGGTGCTAACTACCAGACTGGTTTTTCCAATGGGCCTGAGGAAAACATGCTGAAGTCTTTAATATCGTTGATGACTTCCCAGAGTAGGTAATTAAACTATCTACCAAACAAAGCTATAATATATCAAGGAGGAAGACTGGCTGTCTACCTACAATTTTTCATGACTGCCAGGCTGCTTCCAAAGATACTTCCGGCTTATCGTTTAAATCTTTTCAAATAATATTGAACATATCCAATTTAAAATTAACCAAGAGGGGTTTTGGGGTTTTGGGGTTTTGGGGTTTTGGGGTTTTGGGGTTTTGGGG